CCCTGTCATCAAGAAATGTAAAAGTGATAATTGGGTGGGAAGTATGAGTCTTTCTTTGCTAGCCAGAGGCTTTCCTGCCCTCAAGAGACTTTTGTGTTCAATAAAATTATAAAACCAAATCAATGCCAACATGAATTATTGCCATGTACTCTAGGGGCTTATACATAAAGATTACTTTGAGACTTCAGCTAGCACAACATATGGCTACCCACTTACTTAGCAGTAGCTGTGTTGCTTCCAGGCTATTAGGGAGACAAGGTAGGTCAGGTAATATCTTTTATTGGACCAACTTCTGTTGGTGAAGAAAACCTAAAGAAGAGCTCTGTGTAAGCTCGAACGCTTGCCTCTCTCACCAACAGAAGTTTGTCCAATACATGATATTACCTCACCCACCTTGTCTCTCACTCACTGATATTTCTTTGTTCTCCAGAGTAGGGGTTCTCACCCTTTTCCTTTCTGAGCCTCCCCCCCGCCCGCCCCCCCGCAACATGCTATAAAAACGTCATGGCCCATCTGTGCCACAATAACTGGTTTTCTGCATATAAAAGCCAGGGCCGGCATTATGGGGTAGCAAACAGGGCAATTGCCTGAGGTCCCATGTCACAGGTCCCCCCGTGAAGCTACATTGTTCAGGCTTTGGCTTCATCCCCATGTGGTGGGGCTCAGGGCCCTGAGCTTCAGCCCCATGAGGTGGGGCTTTGGCTTTCTGCTCTTGGTCCCAGCGAGTCTAATGCTGGCCCTGCTTGGCGGACCCCCTGAAACCTGCTCGCAGCCGGTTGAGAACCACTGCTCCGGAGAATGAATGTTCATTTTGATCTATTAAGCTTTTTTATAGTTTGGATCTCATGCACCACCTTCTTCCTGTTTTACCTTGACAGCTGGGATGATGGACCTTACCCTCAAGAATTAAGTTGCAGTTTTTAAAGATTCAAGTAATTGTACGTTCCATCAAATATTTAATTGATTCCTACTCTGTACTGGCCAGTAAAGAGGAGATGGGAGGGAGTATGAAATCTAGTGAGTCTGAGGATCTAGTGAATCCAGGAGTTGAGGAAGGATTTTTTTTCCAGACAAGTGAAGTAGAAATTTAATTTTATTTTAAACTATTGAATAAATCAGGAAACTTATTACTCTTTGCTCATGAGTGAATTTATTTTAAAAAGTATGGCTGATTTTTTTTGATGGGGTCATGTGGTGGGAGAAAAGGGGAGATTGGCAAATTCTGCAGAATTTGCCACTTACCTGTAGGATTTTCAGTGGCTCCTATGCTACCCCACTTCCCAAAATCACACAGTCCCTCGTGCTTCTGCCATCACTGATACACTGTATTAATGACAACTCACTTCACCCCATAAAGCCCATATAAACCGACTTTCTGTGTGAAATAAAGTGGACAGAGCTGGGAAGAAGAAATCTAGCCACGTCAACATGAGGCCAGGTCATTGGCTGCAATGCAATTCTCCCACACTACAGCCCCTCCAAGCAACTGAAGTGGCAACTTGATACACTGAAGACTTTGCTCCATCATGCAGTTTAAGTGGTGCAGAAGTGCTTACACTGTCCCTTGGAGGTGACTTATTTTTAAAGTTACCAAGTTGTTTACTTAGCCGCTTACAGCAAGGAAATGGAAGGTGTACGAACATCTGCCGAAGCTTTGTTAATCGTCATAATTTGGGACTAGTGAAACTGTTTCCAAGACATTGATAGTGTGCTATTTAAATGTGTCAGCCGGTCGCTAGAGTAGATTTACCAACTCGTTTTCCAAAATAACTTCATTGTCCCTTGCCAACACTGTAATTCATATTTGTAAGCAAAACATACAAACAAAAACAAACATACCCCTTTGACTTGTGAAGCATCTGTTGCTAGTCTTGTTAACAAAACCCCTATGGCATTTTTAGGATCGTCGTACCACCCAATCTCCTGCAAGGGAATAGATGGTTCAGTTATTTTTGCTTTTGCAAATGAAATGTTCTTATCGTAACTCAGACTTGTCAGGGTCATTAGTACAATGTATGAACATTTAAAGCTTGACTAGCATGTATGTTTGGGGAAGAGAGAGAACCAACATAAGCACTAAGCTACTTACTCTTCTTTTGTGATGAATAACATTTGTCAGATATACTGAAAACAATCTTAACATAAACTATTCTTACCCTCAGAACATTAAACTGTTAACAATCCAGGTGCTAACAACTGCAAAGATTATAGAATTTAGAGTCAAGTACGTGTCATGCACCATAATGACAGGTTTCAGAGTGGTAGCCGTGTGAGTCTGTATCAGGAAAAAGAACGAGGAGTACTTGTGGCACATGTACTCCTCGTTCTTTTTGCACCATAATGAGAGTGTCTTCCAGGCCCAGACCAACATCTGATAGGCACAGTGCTCCTCTCCTACACCTTTTATATTACGCTGACTTCTGTAGAGCTATTCCTGATCGATATGCACGTGGGAGGAGAATCAGCTTTATTATCCTTAAACGTAGTGGAAAAGAAGGAGAGGTTTGGATTTTTGTGTAATTTCCCTCTCCTCCCCTATCCCCTTAGAATGCTCCTGTGCATATGCACAACCCTGCGATACCAAGTGCTACCAATGGGTGTGCAGGGTGCCTAATCGTTTACCCACAGAGAATCCTCTGCAAGGAACAAATAGAGGTGTGTCCTTTCCCAGGGATCCATCAGCAGGGAGTATCCAAGGAGAATCATGTTGCAACAGTATTATTGTAAAACATTCCCGATCCAGCTGGTCATCTTGACTAGAGAAACCACTCTAGTGAGCAAAGATAATGCTTTGAGACCCTATACCTGTTATGATATGGTCCGTTTGCTATGGAGTTTGATGCAAACAGACCTAAACCTATTTATCTAAACATTTATATCATGACCATCGGGTATTGGAGGGAGGCTCTACACAGGCTGCATGGAACCAGAAACTTTCATGGTGTTATACAAACATCAGCCCACAAAAGCCATCTGGCTCACATGGCAGGAGTGCTGCATATTTGCTGTCTATT